TTTTGTTTTTTTACTAGATCTAAGAAAGAAAAAGTCAACACTGATATATGTGTACATGAGCTAAAAGGCATAGGAAAACAGACTACATATGCTCATTAAATTTCTAAGAAATATGAGGGAAAAAGATAAAATCTTTGGGTAAGTTTTAAGTCTGTCCAAAGAAGCTAGATTTGCTACTCTCAAAAAATTAAAAGACCTACTACGATATACAGAAATGATTTAATGCCTTTTCATAGGAACATAACTTGAGCTTTGCCAAAGCTTCATAATCCATGAGGTCATCTAAAATGTCAGTCCATGGAACAGGCGCTCCTTTCTTCTGGAAGTTTCCATGGATTTCTAGCCAATATCACAAACGTTGTCTAAGACGTCATCCCAGTTCCACTGGAAGTAGGTCTGGAAGACAGTCATCTTCTCATGGGAGTTCCCAGTGCTACAGCTTCCTTGGCCTTCCTTTCTCCCTCTGTGGGTGGTACTGTTCAATTTCAGTCTGACCTACAGCACTGGCCGGCTTCCTCCTCCCATTCTTTTGCTTGGTACCCCTTCTCAGTGGCCTGCTTCTGAGTCTGCAGCAGCTGCTGGCCAACTGACTTGGCCATGGCTGTGGTGACTCTGAAGCCGAGGTAAGCACCCTAAATCGGCTCCAGGGTCTGCTGACCAGGTCACTCATGACCTACCAGAAGTCTGACTTTTAACTCAGAATTTTAAAGACTCCACCTTCTATCTCAAGACAGGTATTAAAATTCACTCCTCTGCAGGTTTTCACAACCACGGTCCCCAACCCAAGGAGCCACTCCCTCCTTCTCATGAGTCTTTCTCTGACTTCCACCTTTCTCTTCACTTTTGATGGTAGAAATTTCCCCTCCAAAAGTTCAGCTATGCAGGTAAATAGATTTTTTTAAATTAATATTTTAATGAGTACTTCTAAATATTTTAGTGGTAAGATTTTTAGAATTTCTAGTCAATGACACTGCCAGCTACAAAAATTTATATTCATGTTTTTTGAGTTTTCTAAATATTCTACAGTAAGCATTCAATTAGAAAAGGTCATTTTAGAACTAAAATTGCTCGCTGACATATGTAATCAGCAATGAACTAAAAAGACGGCACCTAATAAAGCTATGATAGCTAGCAGACTCTGAACTCCTATTTGTTAAAAGAAGAGTGGGCATTTAAAGCAGTTCTTCCCAGTTTTCCGTCAAAATCACTGAATAAATTGTCAAACGCATACTCTAGGATGCTTCCACTAAATTCTAATTCATTATATCTGGATTGAACATAGAAAACTAAGAAAAAATGCACATGGTTCTGAGGCACAGATATACTCAAAAATTACTAGTTTAGAAGTCGGAGAACAATGACAAGGCTAAGATTTTGTTTCCCGGTTACCCCTAGGGAGGACCAGACCACATTTCTTCCCAAGTTTCACTTTCCAAGGAGGAATCCAAGCAAAGAGTAAGGGCTTAAAATCAGAAATGAGCGCTTTCAGATACTTTTAAAAAGAGGAAGTTTTGAAGCACATGAGATGGTTTCAAAGACAAATTTGGCAGGTAAGTGTAGTGGTAGCACTGGGATAAATTTCAAGATCCATTTCTTTATCATTATGACTCTGGTCAGCTTCATTATCATTCCCAAGTATTCACTCCTCTCTTCCTTTGAGAGGATTATTCTTCCCTGCCCCATTAACATCAAGCTTGCCCACAAGACTTTCTTCGACCTGTGAAATGTAATGAAGTAACCCAAGCCACTTTTAGACTAAAGTTGTGACAGCCACTGTGTGGTTCTACTTTGTTCTTTTTCCTGTGCCACAAGACAGAAAAGAAGACTGTTCTTTCTGCCTGAGTCCCCAAATGAATAAGACATGGGACACAGTGGAGGCCAACCACAGCTGACATGACACTTGTGAGAAATAAATGTTTGCAGTCATAAGCTACTAAGATATTTAGTCTGCCCTGTCTGACACAGAAATAACTGCACCTATTACATTACTAAAAGTACTTTGTGTGTGATTCCTGGCAGCTCTGGGGTGCATTCTTTTTGTAAATAATCAAGTAAAATACAAACAAGGATCCCAGCACAATTTTAATAAAGCAAACAAATGTAATCTAGTGATATAAAGCATCATAATAAAATCCAGTGTGAAATTTATGAGACTGAAAATAGAGGACACTGTGTCAAACAAACCCTGGCAAATGAAGCTGGGGAGAGCCATGAAGGGAGGCCTCTTACACACGATTTGTGTAACAGGAACTACCACAAAAAAGTTTTCCAAACTACAGTTGACTACATGAATCATACAGGGACACCTAATTACTTCCACATGAACACTTGCCTATCTCGAAAACTCTCTCAAATCCAATCCAAAACTACATGAGCCTAACCATGACTCCAAGATTACAAAGCCCTATCTTACCACAACTGACGCTTGCCAATCAGCATTCACTAGCTCTTGTAAGACACTGCCAGCACCAATCAGATTTCTTCTCAAAGCAACTTGCATAACCTCCTCTTTCTCCAGTAAACCCTAACTTATTCCTTTGTTCTACAGACATATTGGAAGCCACTCTGGTGTGTATGTGTGTCTTGAATTGCAGTCCTACTTCTCAAATCCTGTTTCCAAATAAAGTATTTTCACTTAGAGATTTGTCTTGCTATATTTTAATATTGACACTAGTTTTAATCATTCATTTATTTATTCAGTTGCCCTGCCAAAATTTGCTGACATTTTCTCTCTACTAGACACCATGCAATTCCCTGGTAATACGGAAACAAATAAGATCTAGAAGATATATACAGAGAGCAAAGGGAGAGAGAGGCAAACATGTAAACAAACAAATACAGCATAGTATGATAAGAGCTATAATAGAGATGGAGTGTGAAGACAGAGAAATCACAGAATGTTTCATAGCAGAGAGAATCTCAGCAGGACCTTGAAGGATAGGCAGGTATTTGTTAAGTGAAGGAAAGGGGATCACTATTCCAAACAAAGGAAATAGTCCATAACACACAGACAGTCATGAGTGAACCAGCCAGGGGAGGAGTTAAGAAGTTCCATGTGGCCGGGCACAGTGGCTCATGCCTGTAATCCCAGCACTTTGTGAGGCCAAAGCGAGCAGATCACGAGGTCAGGATTTCAAGACCAGCCTGACCAGCATGGTAAAACCCCACCTCTACTAAAGGTACAAGAATTAGCCAGGTGTGGTGAGGTACACCTGTAATCCCAGTTACTCAGGAGGCTGAGGCAGGAGAATCACTTGAACCTGGGAGGCAGAGCTTGCAGTGAGCCGAGATCGCACCACTGCACTCCAGCCCGGGTGACAGAGGGAGACTCAGTCTCAAAAAAAAAAAAGGTAAAAAGAAAAAAAAAAGTTCTATGTGAATATCCTAGTGCATGTATGGAGGGAAATAAAGCTAAAGAGCTAGACAGGAAGGAGAAAGCAAAGAACCTTCCAAGCCACTCTAGAGAGCCCAACATTTACCTGTCAGCAGTGGTCAGGCACTGAAAACTTTCCACAGATCATGACATGATCACATGTGCGTTGCAGGAGGACAACACTGAGAGAAACATAGAAGCTGGATTGGAAAGGGAGAGCCCAACATCACTGTTCTCTGCTTTGATAGTCACATATTTCAACAAAGGCAAATGGCTCTATGTTTTATTCAAAAGGCACATGCTAAATTGCCAAGGAAAAACAACAGAAAGCTGACTATACACAAAGGATTTAAAGAAGCATAACACACAAGATTACTGGAAAGAATTTAAAGTCACTTCTTTCTTCCTCATAAAACATTCACATTCAATCCATCTTGCTTCTCACAAAGTATTCTGCTGCCATAAGCAACCCACTCTGACCTCACCACCCCAAACTTAAAATCCGATTACTAAGAGCAAACTGCTTATGAGAAGACAGAAAATTTTAAACAGCCAATGAACAGATGTATTTCTGACAGATCACCCTTTTAGAAACCAAAACATATCTAAGATTAACTAAGCAATGTTTTCCTTTCTATCTTGATTATACTGGTCCATGACAATGTATCTTACCAGACATTACTAATGAAGCCTGGTGCAAGGAAATAGCCTCAAGCAGAATTTATAATTGGGAGGAGCCCTAAATGGCTTCTGCTTGAACCCCAACCTTATGTTCTGAACCTCACTACAAGGTCAGCGCCTTCCATGGCTCTGCCAACTTGCTTGTGTGCCCTCCCCTCCAATGGAAAGCAAGACACTATCTCTGGAAACTGCATATCTGACCTATGACTAAATTTTTAGGTTTCTGATATTGCCAAAGTATATTGCGCTTAACAAAATGACTATACTACCAGAAAATACAAATATTTGTACCCTTTAGAAATACAAAGCTATACATATAGTAGCTGTAAGCAAATATAAGAATTATTCAGAATAATTATAAGATATTTTATGAGAACTTAAGGATTTGCATAAATACTGTAAAGGTCCTCGAGGGCAGAAACCTTCCCTTTTCCTGTTTGTGACAGGAAAAAGTGCAGTGGTTAAGGACATAGTTGTGGAATTAGAACACTATGTTTAAATCCTGGCTTCTCTACTTACCGTGTAACCCTGGGCAATTATCCTACTCACTTTATATCACAATTTTCATTTCTTATAATATTAAGATAATAAAAGTATCTATGCCATAGGACTGTTACAAGGATTAAATGTGTTAATACTGGGAAAGTCATGTACAGAAGAATTCAATACCTGCCAACTGTTAGTCTTCTTAGTATTGCCAGCTTCTCAAATACGGTAGAGAGCAAACAAACTTTGAAATGAAATCAACCAAAATAAACCTAACTTTATAAACATTCAAAAATTTGGACTATGCTGTTAAAACTTTTTAAACAATAACATGACAATCACTTGTCTTTCTGTTTAAAAGGAAATTAACTGCAAAGCCTACTATAAAAATTGTATAAATGAAATCCAATACTCTAGGGGAAAAGGTGCACAGAATTTTAAGAAGTTAGTTTCTACTTACATCTGGTTTGGAATGCTGAAAAATCTTCAGGGGAAATTTTAAGTCCCCTTTAGCTAAAGTTACTAAATATTCTTTTAATAGCTCATTGGCCATACCAGGCGACTGTTTCTCACAACGATGAAGAAAGGGAACCATCCACTGGTAGGCACTTGTCACATATTTGTCCTCAGAACACTGAAAGTACAATCAAGCAAAACAGACAAACAAGAATGAAGTTAAACTAAATGCCTTATTATATCAGACAGCAAGTTCTAAAGCTTACAGGTCCTCAGACAGATGTTAAACAGTGCAAACCCAACACTCTGAAACACACCGTCCAGTTCACCACTCACATGTGAATTGACAGGTAGCAGGAAAATGAACCACCTATTACTGGGGCTAGTAGAGCTGACAGCAACAATATCACTGTGGCTCATCTATTCACATCGTAAGCAATGTGGGGTCCCAAGGGTCCTAAGCTCAGCTCTAGAAAACCAACAGGCTGCTACTACAACTCAGTCATGAGGTCCTCCAGGGCAAAGAGAGGGTATACCCAAAAAGAGAGAGAGACAGACAGACAGTATAAAAAGAGGCAGAGACAGACAGAGAAAGAGTCCTTAGACCAACAAAGAGTGAACAAAGAGTGGAACAAAAAAGTAGAAAGACAGAGATAGACAAATAAGCACAGGTTCTAAAAACAAGGCCCACTAGAAAACAGGGCCTCATCTACAAACGGCAAGAATCTCTCCCTTCTTTTTTCTCTTCCTCTTTGTTTTGCCCCTTTACAACCACCTTTACAAAATTCCAAATGACAGAGGTAGTTTTACCCATTATCCCTACAATTACACAGTTGTTTCTCTTAATTACACCCCAAGAGGTACACCTAAAGCTCTTAAAAGGAGTCAATACATAACACAAATTAATTAGGTGGATTATTAGGCAAAGAAACTAATGAGATAAAGGGAAGTTAAGGACAGAGGGAGAGACATAAGGAAGATAAATATAAGACGGTGGATGATGTGGAAGGGAAGGAGAGAAAAAGAGTCCAGGGAGGAAAAAGAGCCCATCATGCAGTTGTGACTCTGCCCCGTCATCTGGCCCATTTAATCTAAGCTGCCAACGAGCAAAAGACTAGAAGGAGCGCTGGCAGCTACCGCCTCTGCAGCAGCATTTTCTTGCCTCTTGACTCAGTGGCTGGCGTAGAAATAAGGTCCCAACCTCGGGGATAAAGCACAGAACGATCTAAGTCTCATTGGGAAAATTCTCTTAAACACACTCACCCTGAAGTCAAGACGTTTTCTTCATACAACCACCCAGTCCTCTTAACCCCAATACTTTTTTTCCCAGTCCTTGAAAGGTATTAATTGGGAATTTTAACAATGTGAAAGGTTAGAAACAGGATTGCTACAATCACTAGTTTAGAAATATGCCTAACTAGGAGGGGGAAAAAAAGTTACACGGATGGGTCTGAGTAAAGAGCAAGCAAGGTATAAACACAACCAAAATAGTTTTATGTGTGTTTAGTAAGTTATCCATAGTATTTTATTGTGGAAAAAAGTCAAGAAACTGTCTTTTCTTTATTCACTGACTCCTCAGGTCTGCAGAACATTTCGTCTTTGGTTTGAGACAATATGAGTCAAAATGCATAGAAAATGCTCTAAAATGTTTAAAAAGGAACTTAGAATCAAACCTACACTATTCATCAGTAATCTGAGTTTTTCAATGTCTTTCATCTGCTGGAGTTCTTTCAGGGTTAGAGTTAAGTCACACCCAGCTTCATAAACCAGTGTTTCCAGAGTAACCAAATTATCACAGATACCCAGCAAACCAGGAATATTCCGCTCCATTCCAAGTCGAATAAGTGACAATGCACAGTCCACCTAAAATTGAAAAGCAACAGTAAGTTCCTATTACATATTTCTCATCTATTCTAAAGTAGAAGTCTCCAGGACAGAAACTAATCCTTACAATCATTTTTTATCAAACTACATTACCAGTAACATGCATTTTTTTATTTACTGCAAAAACATTAGAGTCCTTTATCAAATATATCAGCATCAAACTCTTTCCAAGGAATGAAACAATCGGCAAGAAATACGGAACATAAAGATAAGAGAAAGACAATCAGCCTATTATAAATTTGTAGAGCATTACAGTTTACAACGCAGCTTTACATATTTCTCTTTTTAATTCTCACATTAACATATCAAGTAGAGAAAAAACACATACCTACTAATGATAATGCCAAGTTAATCTTATTTTTACTATTACCACTCTGCTTCCAAATGAATATTTACCTTCATATTCCTGTTTAGTATCTATCCCTTCACACTGCCTCCCATATCAAAGTCATTCAATAAATATTTGCTGAATAATTATGGTACAAACACTTTCTTAGTCTCAATTCAAATATTTAGCCTTCATCAGACAAAATCACAGAATGATATTCCTGAAGATGCTCAGGAAATAGCCATTTGATCCCTATTTCTTGGTCAAGTTTATGAACTGATATGTTCTCCGACTGATGGAGAAATAATCTAAAGTAGCCTAAAGCCGTTATCTCTCACACTACTTCTTACTCTCCTATTCCTGGACAATTATTTATGAGGGCCTACCATGAGCTAAGCTCCATTCACTATTTGTGTTAGGAATGCAAAACTGAGTAAGATGAAGTCTCTTTCTTCAAAGATCTCTCAGCCTTGTAGGAAAAAACAACCACAATGACTGAAGCAGAGTGTGGTGAGCGCTGTGTATGATGGGGATCCCACAGAAGAGAGCACTCAGCCAGCCTGAGAGGGTCCCAGAGGAGGGAACACTTAGCATGGACTTCAAAGAATCAAGGAGTATTCGTAAGGTGAGGAAGGAAGATTATGAGAAGGAGAGCAGCATGGAATGCAGAGATGCATAGAGCGTTGTCAAAGTACAATTACACGTGACTGGAAAGGTGTGAAGGGAAGCAATGAGAAAGACGGCTGGAGAGCGGCAGGGAAAGGCGAGTCATGAACGTTGTTTGTCAAGCTAAGGAACGTGCAGCTGATCAGGAAGGCAGAGGATTTTTGAGTGAGACATGTCATAAATAGACCTAATTTGGAAAGAACACTAAGTATTTATTGACTGATGAATGAAATGTATATGATGAACTGGAAACGGATTGAAGATAGACAAGACTGGTCAGAAGAATTACAGTTACCAGTATTGGAAGAATTATGACAGAAATATATTGATTCCCCATTCATTCACTGATCAGTTCACACATTCATTCACAGAGAGTAAATACTTCTTGCATACTTCTAATGTACTGGGCAAAAACAATAAGGAGCTAAACTATGACAGCATTCCTGAAGGTATACAGGAGAAAGAATATAACATATAATTAAGGAGAGAGAATTTGTGAAATTTGGTCAGAACACATGAGGAATGTGAGCAAAGAGGAGTCTAGAACAATTTCTCATCTAATCCACGGAAGTGTGTG